AAAAAAAAAAAAAAAGAACCTAATTGGGTTCCCATGGCCTAGAATACAGTTAAAATCTAGCATGACATTCAAGGAATTCTTCTACAGTCTAGCTCAACTTGTCACAGTAGTGCCAAGTAAGTGATGTGGGATTTAATTAAAGTGCTCCTTACAACCATAATCCCCTATATAAGAAGCTGTTTCTAGACAGAAGAAATGGATTGCTTGACTTCTACCATTGAATTTAAAACCTAAGACATAACACCAAAATAAATAAAAATGCCATGCTGACCTAAAATGCAGCATTGAATACAGTACCTGTGGAGCCAATCCATTGCACTCTAATTAGTAATCACTGTTGATATTTGCTATAGTCTACAACAGTGGAGATTCCATAATGATGGAAAAGTGAATAAAGCAATTTCTGGGAACTTGAGAGGGAAAGTAAAATCCACCTTAAAATAACTCCAGTCAAATGCTCTCTATTTTCTGGAAGACTTGGCACTCTGGGTGGAAGGTTAATTCTCCTTCCCCTGGGCCTTACTTATTGTGAGTGAGCTTTAAAACCGCTAAAAATAAACAAGTCCAATTCCTTACTTGAAGGCAATGGCGAAAAGCATGGCAAATACCAATTTTCTTTTTGAAGTACAAGGAAAGTGTGGACTCTCTGAGTCTTCTTTATTTTTTTTCTCCTTAGGAAGCGCTAAAGGTTTCAAACTGGAGGGAATCTGAATATGAAGCATTTCATGGAGAAAGGGTTAAGTAAGAAACTGAAATACTTGAGTGCATTTCCACTGCTCTCCACTACACCTCCAGGACAAATAAGGATGAGTTGTCAAGTTAAATATAAGCAGTCAAGTGACTGAATTATAATTTACTCTGTGCTCAATTTAAATTAGTGTGAGGCTATTAAAATATACAGTATAAATACGGCAATTCATCACAAGCTGTCATGGATGACTTCATTTATTTGCTGGAGTGGCACACGCTCCACTAAAGGGAAGGAGAGCAAAATCACAGGTCAAATTAAGCCGCTATTCTGTTTTAATTCACTTATTTAATCTGTGGCGACATAATTGTCTTCTACAGTATGTACAACTCAGAAAGGAAATTTGGGAGGATTACAGTCAGTATACAAATGATTAATCAAATGGTCCATTTAAATGCTAGTTTAAAAGCAGCAGAAACCCAAAGCAGTCAAAGAATGATAATCAGCACATGCTCTATACAATGCTGAGAAATTTCCTATTAAATGCATTTTTCCCAATTAGAAAACAAATAATACTGGGAAATCTATTAAATCCTCCAAGCTGTACTACTTGAAAGATTTTATAGAATACATTAATGGTACGAAAGGTTTTGTTTGCAAGATGGCTAACCGTATTTTCATTTGTTTTCTGCTCTACTTATTTGCAATTGTCTTGCCTACCTACACCAAACAAACAGACAAAAAGCTAGGTGGAAACATGTTTCATGAGTTACATATAGTCATTATCAAATAGGTATCTTTAAAATGTGATTAGCACTATTTTCAAAATGTTCTTTGAGGCAGTTATTTTCTAAATTCAATGGCATAAAATAAAAATTCAAGGTAATTTTATTCTTCCTCAAATTCAACTTCTTTTAAAAATATCTGAAATGATATCTTCCTACTTCTGAAGTCTAAAAAAGGAAACATAACATTATGCTTTTTTGTCCAATAAATAAGAACATTTAGAAGCATAACAAATTAGAAATATTTTGAGTAGGAAGAGAAAAGTAACAGATTTTCAAGGACTCTCATCTAATTGTTCCTACAGACATTCAAAGTGTGGGTCCAACTAACCACTTGACTTGGGAAATTAAATTTCCCTCATCATTCTATGTAAGTGTCAGAGCCCTGCAGGTGATTCTGTTTAGGCAAGGACTGTGATTTGCTGCTCTTCACAATCCCTCTGTGAGACCAGGCAGCCCCATTTCACAGCTGAGGTCACTGAGAGGTTCAAGTGACATGCTTGAAGTCACACAAAAGTCAGCAGAGGGTCAGGAAAAGATCTAATGCGCTTCTAACTCTTAACCTTCCATTTCACCCTTTAATATAAAAAAAGCTATGAAATATTCTGGGTGAGAGCAATGGTCCATACAAAGAACACTACAGGATATTTTGTACGTGAGCTGAACCTGCTTTCAAGATGTTACTTCAAAAGATGAATGAATGAACTAAAGGACAAACAAAAGAACAAAAATTTATTCATTCAGTCATTTAACAAACTATGTGCCGAATTCTTACTCATTATGTGTAGTTCTCTATACTAGACCCTATATGCAAGATTCTGCAGCAATCAGTGAGGCAGAAAGATAAATCAAATCCGTTCCCCACAAAGAGATGTCAATATAATAAGGGAAATGTACATGTATACTAATAGCAAAATAGCAAAATGATAACACCCGTAAGAGACACAGAGAATTCCAGAAAGGTTCAAAGAAGAAAATGAGTGAGTGTGAGATATACCATATGTGACAGGGTTTATCCAGGAAAGTTCAATGGAGAAACAGGCTTTTGAACTGATCCTTGAAGGGTGTTAAAGACTTTGATAGGTGGAGATATGGGTGAAAGCATCCTAATTAGATAGGAATACATGAATCAAAGTGTTGACGTGAAAAAGTACTGGGTACAGATAAGGCAACGAGTTCAACTTAAAAGCAGCACAAGATTCAGACATGTAAAATAATGCTATAAAAGCAGACTGATGACATACTGTGGAGGATCTTGAGTGCCATCTTCTAGAGCTGCAGTCCTCAACCCCTGGGTTACAAACTGGTACCAGTCTGTGGCCTGTGAGGAACCGGGAGGCACAGCCAGAGGGGAGCGGCAGACGAGGGAAGCTTCATCTGTGTTTACAGCTGCTCCACATCGCTGGCATCACTGCCTGAGCTCCGCCTCCTCTCCTCACCCCTATCCACCTCCCCATCCTACTGTCTACGGAAAAATTGTCTTCCATGAAACGGGTCCCTGGTGCCAAAAAGGTTGGAGACTACCGTTCTAGAGTTTTTAGTTTATTTGGGAAGTGACATGAAGCCTCTGAAGACTTCTGAGAGGAGGAGAGATGTGACCAGAATTATGGTTTAGGGAAGCTGAATCTGAGAAGAGTGAGAAGCAATGGCATGGGGTCATGAGCACTTGGGACAAGATTGCTTGGGTCCAAATCCAGGTTCCACTATTTATTAGTTATGGGACCTTGGGCAAGTTATTTAACTTCTTTGTGCCTCAGCTTCTGCATCTGTAAAATGAATGGGATGAATAATAGTAACAAAACCTTGTTGTGAGTATTAAATGAGGAAAATGTATATAAAGGGCATAGCACAGTATAAATCATCATTAAGTGGTTCTATTTACTGGCAGAATAGTTCAAAAGCTGATTGACATGTCTGATAAGAGGCAAAACAAGCACCTGTATTAGAGTGGTGACAAGAAAGGAAGAAGTACTAAAGTACAGAGAGAGAGAGAGAGAGAGAGAAGTCAACAGGCTTCCAGGCACTGGATACTAGCCAGAACAGGACAGTGACAGTGAGAGATAGAAAACAAATGAGATGAGTCCCATGGTTGCCCAAATTACTGACTGGAGAGTTTCTAGGCCCCAGTGTAGGGAGTGGAACCCAGATGGAGCTCAGCTGTCTCCCTAAGGTGAGAAGAAAAAACTGGGAGTCTGAGGAGGCCAAGGTAGCTAAAGGACCAGAGGGCAGAGAGCTGGGAGAGGACCTGAGGGAGAGCTCCAGAGATCTGCAGAGGGGGCTTATAGTCTTCAGCTGAGTAATAATCAACACATGGATGCTAGGAAATTACCTGAGGCCGGGGGAGGGGGGGGACCCAAAAAACACCAGAAAGGACCAGAATTAACAATCTCCAGACCAACACTGGGCAGGAAGAGTTTGTGTTCCCATCAGACAAGTTGGAAAACCTTGTAATTCCCAAGGCACCAGGTAGAGTATTCAGAAGAATACTGCCTCAGTTACATGGGGGAAACTAATGTTAGACCAGGGTGGGGAAACTTTTCATGTTGGAAGGCCACAATAATTTAGCTGTAATCAAATAAGGCCTCATTCAAGAAACTTCAATTAGATATACTTAAAAATGTACATTATTTTGTAAAAATCTATTATGTATGTAAT